CAGTTGGCCGCAGGAGGGGCGCGCCTGGCTGTCAGCGGCACGCGGGGCCCTCTGGCCACCTTGGTGGTGTGGTCGCACTTCCGAGTCCCCGCGTGCAGCACGCGGCCTTCCCTGGCCCCGGGTCCCGCTATCCAGGAGGAGCCTGTAGCACCGGGTGTCCAGGCTGCCCCCGGGGCAGGTGGACTGCATACTCTCCTGGGAAGGGCCGCGAGAGCCCTGGAGGTGGGGTGGGGAAGGTGTGTTGAGGTCACAGCAGGAGCAAAGCCCTCAGGTGGAGGAAACCGGGCCAGGTAAGAGGCTGGGGGCAGGTGGGGTCAGACTGGACCAAGGACAGGGGCTAGGCTCACCCTGGGGCTGCAGGAGTCTCGCAGCTCTTGGGGCCGGTCTGCAGCAGGGCCAGCTGGGGGGACCGGTCTGCAACAGGGCCAGCTGTGGGGCGGGGCCTGAGATGCAGCCTGGTCATCCTGCCTCTGCTCGCACCATCCAAGTCAGATTGTTACCTTGTCCCCTGTCATCACTTTTTTAGTCACTCTGGATATGACGCTGAATCCAGATTCTTTGTCATCTCCAAGACACTTCAGTCTGCCCAAATCTCCCTCAAAATACGGCCATCAGAGCAGACCCAGTGCACACCAGGTAGAGGGAGAACACTCCCTTCTTTTGAAGACTATACCTCTGTTAATGCAGCCTCTTCCTGCTGTGGCTCTTACCTGTGCCTGCCCACGGCAGAGCCCAGGACCCTGTTCCCCAAGAACTGCCCCGAAGCTGGAATTACCTGGGTGTCAGTAGTTCTCCTGTATGTGGTTGTCCCCTGAGCAGGACAAAGGCTGGCACCAGCCCCGCTGGAGGGACCGGAGGGCCAGGAGCTCACCACCTGGGTGGCCCTTCACCTCCAGGCAGCTCCTGGGAAAGGCTGGTGGCTGCTGCCCCCAAGTGGTCCTCTTGGGCACTGCACCCACAAGGCCCAGCCTCCAGGAGGGAATGGGGTTGGGTGGTCTCGGAGCTTCCTGACCAGAGGGGAGACAAGGCCACCCGGGGACTGGAGCCAGATGGAGCAACATAGCCTGCTGGGGGTGCTGAGGCCCAGAGGGGAGGCCACGGCCTGGCAGGAGCCCAGACGGAGCCTGGCCCTGGCCACTGGTACTGTCCTGTGGAGCCCTCCTTGAGAACCTGACTCAGCTCCTGAGGGTTGTCCACACTTGTACCACTGACCGGTTGTGCCCACTGGCCGTTCATGCCCACATGGGCGTCTCAGCCACCTGAGCTGGCTCTGTCTCCAGATGGGAGGCTTGGGGACCCAGAACCTGGCCCCGGCTGGCACCCACGGCCCAGAGACGGCTGTGCGTGGTCGGATCACACTCCTGCTAGTTACAGGTCCAGGGAGGTGGCTGCCCCTCCCTGTGCCTCTGTTCTCAGCTGCCCAGTGGGTCCCAAGAGGATGCTGGGGACCCGCCCCCGAGGCTGAACCCAGGGCTGGGCTGGGTGCCGAGGTGGGAAGGCACCAGCCGAGACCTGCGAGGGACCCCCAGGGAGGGAAGGACTGGGAGGGCTGCCAGCAGGCCTGGTCCGTGCACTCTGCACTCATGGTAGGGCCAGGGGCAGCGGGTCCAGGGAGTGGGCACTGGGTGGCACAGAGCCGATGACCCTGGATGATGGCAGTAGGTTCCCTTCCTAGCCTCGGTCCCTGGCCTGGGAGCCAAGCGCTCCTCCTCTGTGAGACCCCAGGGTGACCTCGCGGGTCTCACTCCCCCCTGAATAAACAAGGGTCCTGAGGTGCAAAGCTCCTGTCTGCCTTCCCCATGCCCAGGGACAGCTGCCCCAGTCCTTGGCGTCTCTGCCCCGAGGGCGCTCCTCTGAAGGCCTTCCTGGATGACCCCGTGAAGCCAGGACCATGTGCCCCACCCACCCCGCCCGAGTAGCTCTCGGGTGGGTGGACAGTGTTGTCCCTGCAAATATGTGCAGGTCCTACCCCTAACCTGCGAGTGAGACCTCCTCCTGTGGAGCAGTGTCCTTGCCAGTGCAGCCAAGCTCTGGTGAGGCTGTGCCGCCCCACGGTGGGCCCTGACCCCACCTGGGTGCAGACCAACCCTGGGAGATGGGTGCAGGGCTGGTTGTGTGAGGCGGCCACAAGCCAAGGAACGCCAGGTGCTCTGGAGCCCAGGCCAGGCCACCTGTTGGCTGGGTGACAATGGGATAGAGATTCCTCCTGGTTAAATAGAGCAATGATGACCTCTGCGGGGGGGGGGTGTTCTGGGAACACTCAGCAAGGAACCCCTGCAGAGCCCCCCTCCCCACCAGGCCTGGGGCCCTGTGGGTGCTGAGCACCCTAACCCTAACCCGAACCTGAACCCGAACCGTGGTCATCTGCTGTTAGGGCACCAGAGTGACTGTGTTCCCTGATCCCAGGACCCCTGGGAATGATCAGGGACCCCTCAGGCTGACGGAGAAGTGCACGTGATTAAAAACAAGCAAATCAAAACCCCACGTCTCCCTCGAGGTAAGAACTGAAGCTTTTCGGGTACTGTGGCCACGGTGGGCACCAGACTCCCCTCCCGCCAGGGGCAACTAGAAAACTGAACCCAAAGCACAAGAAGCAGCTGTTGTGGTGTGGACAGCGGGGTTCTGCCCGACCCTGCAGGAGGAGAGGCAGAGCCAGGGGAGGCCAGTGGCCTGGGACTTGTGGGCAGAGCCCTGGAGAGCTGAAATCCCAATAGCACCTGTGACCAAACGATGGCTGAGCACCACAGAGTGAGGCCTCGGGAGCGGGGCAGCAGCTACCCCAGGAGCTCTGTGGGCCAAGACACGCCTGTGTCCACGGGGCAGGAGCCACTCAACCCAGCCGCCCGGGATGAGGAGGCCGACTGCTCCCCAGCGCACTCACCACCACAGCCAGGTCTCAGGGGCCGGCTGAACCAGTCCTGGAGCAGGGGCTCCTCCAGATGTGACCAGAAAAGCTTCAGAACAAGTTCAGGAGGGGCCAGGTCCAGGAGGGGCCAGGTCCAGGAGGGGCCAGGTCCAGGAGGGGCCAGGTCCAGGAGGGGCCAGGTCGAGGAGGGGCCAGGTCCAGGAGGGGCCAGGTCCAGAGGGGCCAGGTCCAGGAGGGGCCAGGTCCAGGAGAGGTCAGGTCCAGGAGAGGCCGGCCTGATCGGCAAGTGCACGAGACACCCATCAGCACAGAACTCAAGTTGTGAAAGGAGAGAGAACGAGGCCCAGAAACCAGGAGTGTCTGCAGCCTCCAGCACCCAGCACCCAGTCCCGGAGGTGGGAGCAGGAAGCAAGGCCATAACCCGGAGGGAGATGGAGAGTGTGGTGACGAGCTGAAGGGACAGGGACACTCTAAAGATGGAAACAACAACGTGGAATAAGAAGCCAGTGGGTGGCATCAGCAGCAGCCCAGGCACCGCAGAAAGCAAAGATCAAGGCCAAAGCCATCCACCCTGACACCCAGAAGCAAGGCCGGGGAGGCTAAGCAGAGCCCCATGGCCGGGAGACAGTGTGGAACCGTCCAGGAACGGTCGAGGGAAGAAATGATGGCCGAAAGAGTTCCAAATGGGATGAAAGTCAGATCCGCAGAGCCAAGAGCCTCACGGCACCTGATGTGCAGGAGAAGCTGCCCCAAGGTGCCTCGCCCTCCAGTGGCTGGGAACCAGCTGGGCGGGGGACTTAAGGGACAGAGACAAGAAGGACTTCTGGCTTACCGTCAGAAGTGCCGCAAGCTGAGAGCAGAAGAGGTCTTCGGAGGACGGAAAGAAAACAAGATCCTCAAGCACCAGGATCATCTCAGGGAGAGCATCCTTCAAAAACGAAAATGAAATGAAGACATTTTCAGACAGAAGCTGAGAGAATCCATGACCAACAGAACTGCACTAGGAAAAGACGTCACAGTGACTTTTTCAAGTTAGAAGAAAATAAAACCAGGTGTCAATTCAGACAAGGAATACAAACCTTGGAAATTGTCAGTGTATGGATAAATGAGAGAAAGATTTTTTCCCGTGCTCTAAAATTATTTAAAGATAATATATTTTTAAAGTCAAGGTAACAACTGCATTTTGAAATTCATGACATCTGTAAAGTGAAACATATTACATTAAAAGCACAAAGGACAAGAGAAGAGAATAGAGATAGACAGTTATAAAACTCATATTTTTACATGCAGTGGTTCAAATCACTTAAAGACAGAAAATAATAAACTAAAGAACAATGCTGAAAGTTAAGTCAAAGAGTTATAGCTAATAAGCCAAGGGAAAAGGTAAAATAGAATACTGGGACTATTAATCTAAAAGAAAACAGGATTAATATCTTCTAGTATTAGGACACAGAAGAAAGACAACAGATATTACCATTAGAAAACAAAAAGCAAGATGGTAGCTTATATCCAACCCAGTCAATAATTATGTTAAATGTAAATGGGTTAAAAACACGAGTTAAAAGATAGAGATTATCAGACTAGAAAAAAAAGACCTGATATATGATGACTATTAGATATGGTGATTCACATATAAAGAAACAGCGAAATAAGGATATAAAATATTCATGTCAACACTTGTCATAAGAAAACAGGAGTAGCTTCTAGGGTAAGAAAAAGTAGACTTCAGGACAGGAATACTGCCGCAGGGAAAGAGGGACATGATATAATGATGAGGAGTTCCACTGACCCAGGAGACAGAGATCCTGCACATTTACACACACAACAGCAGGCTTGCGAGGACAAATGACCACTGACCAGAGTGAGAGAGGAAACAGACCCACAACTGTAGTTGGAGATTTCAAAACTCTCTCAACCCTGGATGGAGCAAGTAGATGGGACACTCAATAAGGTTGTAAAAGACTCAAACAGCGCAGTTAACCAACCGGACCTGACCCACTCACACAGTCACCATGCAGGGATGGCAATACATGGATGTTCACCAAGATAAACATAAGTCAGGCCATAAAGCAAGCCTTGACACATTTTAAATGACAGGAGTTATGCAGACCATGTTCTCTGATCACAGCACAGTTAAGTAGGAACCAATAAAAAGACAATACCTGCAAAACTCCCAACTATTTGAGAATTAATGAATACATTTTAAAGGAACCTAAAGGTCAAGGAAGAAATCACAGGAAATGTTAGAAAACATTTTAAACTGAATTATAATGAAAAAAAAAAACCCAAAATTTGTGGGATGCATCTATAGCAGGGCCTTGAGGGAAATTTGTAGCTTTGAGTGCTTATATTACAAAAGAAGGTATGTTCAAAATCATTGACCTATGCGTCCATCTGTAAATGTTGGAAAAAAAAAATCAGTGGAAATTAAAGCCAAAGTAAATAGAAGGAATGAAATAATAAATCAATAAAAATCTGTGCAATAAGAAACCCCTATCATAGCAAATCAATAAAACAACTGTTGTTTGATAGTCTGCCAGAGAAAGGGAGAGATAAAGACTCCAACAACCAGCATCAGGGCCGAGGAGCCATCCCTACAGACCTGACAGCACGCACATGGCAGAGAATTTTGTCAGTAGGTTCAACAACTGAGGTGACACGACCAAGTTTCTTGAAAAGCATGTCATCAAAACTGGCACAAGAACAAAGAGAAAATCCAAATAGCACTCTATCTATTGAAGAAATAGAATTCTTAAAAAAAAAAAACCCCAAACCCCCACTTTTCTGCAAAGAGGACTCCAGACCCTGATGATGTCATGTTGAGGTTAGTGAAACATTATGTGGAGGCTGCTCCAGAAATAGTACCAGCCTGGCCCCGTTGTTTAGAAACCCAAGGAAGAGAGGACAGTGCTCATCTTGTTTTACGCGGCCAGTGTTATCCTAATACCAATATCAAACACATTTCAAGAAAAAATAAAATTGCAAATTAATATTCCTTGTAGACAAAAGTGCAGGAATGTTTTGCTAAACATTAATAAATCAAATCCAGGTGTGTGCAATAGATCATATCCTAATCAAGTGGGGTCTGTTTTAGGAATGCAAAGTTGGTTTAATGTTTGAAAACCAGTGTAACTTACCCCTTTAACAGAATGCAGGAGGAAAATCATACCTTCTTTTTGGAAGGTGGAGAAGAGCATTTGACACCAACCCACACGTGTTAATAATGGGACTCTTAGCAGTGCAGAACGGCCCCACAGAGGTTGTTCCACAGCTGACAGCAGGCCTGGAGGTGCCCTTCTTGGGCTCTGACCACATGTACTCTGTGCTAGTCCAAGTACAGGCATGAGCTGAGAAAGAGCCATAAAACACACACGGATGGTGAAGGAGTGTGCGACCCTGAAGGCACAGTCGGGTGGTGGGAGGTGGGGGCCGTGCACAGGTGGGGCACAGAGCCGTGCTGACACTTCAGTGCACACGTCTCATCCGCTCGTCAGAATCCACGGAGGTCACACCAGTGCAGCCCCCAAAGAAAGAGAGCAGGAAAAAGCCAAAAGCCCCAGTGAGACCAAGATGAATCCAAACAGGCCCAAAGGTGAGTTCACCTGAATACAACCACGAGCTCAGAAAAAGACAGGTTTAACTAAAAACAATAAAAGGAAGGAGAAGTGGCCGCGGCTGCTCCAGTGAAGGAGCCCGGGAGCCCTACCAGGGGGCCGTATGAGGCCCTGGTGCCCTTTGGGACCACGGCGGTCAGCCCAGACCCCCGTGCAGTCTGGGTGAGAGTGTGCCCTTTGCAGGTTCGTCGACTGTGCCAAACGTGTGGCTCCCGTGGGGGACACTCGTAGAGGTCCACGCCCAACCTCTAACTTCTGTTCAGTTTTGTCATGAACTAAAACTGCCTGAAAATAAAGTCTTTTAAAGACTATTTTAAATATTTAATTTAAATATGATATTTATTTAAATATGATATTTTAAAAAGCTCTGTGACCCGCGGTCAGCAGCAATCAGCC